TGGGCAGTGTGGTATCCAGGCATCTAGGACCTGGGCAGTGTGGTATCTAGGCATCTAGGACCTGGGCAGTGTGGTATCTAGGCATCTAGAACCTGGGCAGTGTGGTATCCAGGCATCTTGCCTTGGCGGTCCCAGGCCACACAATCTTATCAGGGATCAAGACACTTGATCTCTCACACATCTTTTATATGGTTGAGGACAGTAAAAGTTTTCGGTAGTGACTGTCGGAGGTGAGATCTGCTAACTGGCAGGTCTGAGGGTTCGGCTTGTCTCAACAGTAGCCTGGCCAGCACCCTCGTCAACTCTCAGGCTCACTGCTCTGAACTCAGCACTCAGAGTGAGTTTCTAACGCCGAAGCACTCCAGGGAAACTGGCAACAAGATAGAATAGGAACACAGCTGAAATCCAAAAGGGAAAGGGCAAGGCTGTGATCCGCAGGGAGCCATGTCTGTTTCCTAATCTGTCTCCTGCCCCAAATAGCTCCGCTCTCCTTCCTCGATTTGTGTTGACGTGTTTCTTGCCCGTGGAAGCAGATGCCACCAAGACTTAAACTGGGTCACCGAGGACTACGATGGGCTGACACAGGCCCACAGGCCATGTCCTCCTCTGACTTGAATGTCCAGGTTCCTGGCCCAAAGCTCAGAGCACAGACTCCAGGAACCACAGAACGCAAACCCCTAGGTGAAGTGGGAGTGGGCGGGGCTTGTCCCTGAGCTTGGCACAGAGTCCCTGGCTTGCCTGACTTTCTGGTCTTTTTTCCTTGTGGACAACCAGAGAACCACAGGTCCTGCTGCTACCCTGGAGGAGGTTTGAATCTGTCTTCCAAAAGCAGGGCTTCTGTCAGCTATGTGACACTGGACGGAACATGAACTATACAAACAAACACTTAACTCCTAGGCTCTAAAGCAGGAGGTCAGGGCACTGTTGCCATTTCTGACAACCCGAGTGCAATCATCAGAATATCCATGGTAGGAAGAGAACACTGACTTACGCGAGTTGTGCGCGCATGCACACACACACACACACACACACAAATAAATGAATGTAATAAAAAGAGAATGGTTTAAACTCTGATGCACATTCAATTTCAAGATTCAGTCCACCCAGGCAGTTTGATAAGTACCCATCTTGAATGATATAGCAGAAAGGGGTAGAGCCAGCACACGACCTAAGCCATTTGTCCCCTGCCTGCCATGCTCCCTCCTTCTCAGGAGTCCTGTGTCCAGCACTGGGTCCTGAGGTTTCTTCTTCTCTCTCCACAGGTTCTTTCAAAGCATGGCTTTGGCCCCATCACCACCGACATCCGAGAGGGACAAGTGTTCTACTATGCTGAAGACTACCACCAGCAATACCTGAGCAAGAACCCAGACGGCTACTGTGGCCTCGGGGGTACTGGGGTTTCCTGTCCGACAGCCATTAAAAAATAACTTCTTTCCAGGAAAGCTGGCCCTGGAGGTTCCATCAAAACCATGATTGCTGGATGGAGCAGCACCACTGTGATTCACGCCTGTCACTTTATGAAGAGCACACACCACATGGGTGTTTACCTGAATCTGGTTGTTATTGGGGTTTGATTTACAGAAAGTAGGATGACAAGGTGATACATTGTAATTTGTCCTCTGATCAGTCCGGGTGGGGATAGAACATGACATTTTAGTGGATCGTTTGGGGTCTAAATGGAGATCAGGAATATCCTGTATCCATCTGCTCAGGCTAGAAGAGATGCTGATGGTTCTGAAACAGGGATGGCCAGGAGAGCACAGGGCTCTGGGACTCCTTGGTCTATGCTGACACCTCACCTACTTCCCTGCCCTCAGGTGCCTAATTCATTAGTGTCTACAGGGTCCATGAATCATTTGCCAAAACGCTTTGCTCTGCTGATTCTAGGCGTGTATTAGGGCTTCTCTCCCCTCTCCATCCTCTTTGTGCAGAGAAAAGACATGAGTGACCTTAATGCATTCTAACATTCTGCTTACAGCTATGATAAAGCTTGTTCTAATAAAAATCTACAGTTTGTTAATCACAACTGCCTGCTGTGAGTCTGTCTTCCCTTGTTCGGGAAGGGTATTTGGAAGTATTGCAAAGCCATGTTATGAGCTCAAGAGTGAACAACAACAACAGCAATCCCTCGTGATTATTTTCCCTTAAATGGAAAATATGATTAAATTTTTTGGCAAATGGGCACACCCCTGGGTCTCTGGCTTTAGTAACAAATAGTTGCTTTCAAGGTGCCTGTACATGTCATGTCAAGGACACCTGTACTTAGAGCAGAAACCTTCAGTCTTTGCCCTTAAAGAGAAGAACACTCTCTTTAAGACAACAAACCATAGCCATGTAAACAAATGAATAAGTAAGCTAACCTCAGGTCCTGATGTGGGATAGTGAGATGCATAAGAAAGGTGCTGGCTCTGGGGACCATGGAGCTGTGTGCAGGGTCATCTCACCTAGGTGGGTTCACCACAGTCCCCATAAGGTGGCAAACAGCAAACTTAGAATGGAATGGCAGGTGAGCACATGCCGGGAAACACACACACATACACACACACACACACACACACACACACACACACACACACACACACACGAGTCAGAAGCAATCACTCTGTATGCTTCAGCTAATAGAAGAAAGGGGTTTCTAGGCTGAAGGACCAGAAGTGCAAGTGGTTATGACAGCATTGGGAAAACTGAAAGGTCCGTGGAACTTGAGTTTGCAGAAAGGGACCATGTGAGGAGCTGTTCAAGGTGGGCAGAGCTAGCTCAAGGAGGATCATTGAGAAACCTGAGACCAGGGCTTAACTGAATAGCAGCACTAGGCAGTTCAGACTCCTCCTCTTTTAGCCTGAGCACAAATGAGCTAAGTGTTATTACCACGTGAGTGCACGGATCTGGTCAGGGGATGGATGTATGTTCCTGGCTTCATTGTGGAGATGTGGAAAGAGGCAGTTTAGGGTCTGCAGCTTGGAAGCAATTCAAAAATGGGAAACATTTTTAGGAGTGATCAGCATGTAGATGCCATGGGACCATCCGAGATCGTGTGGGAAAGGATGAAGGTGGTAGTGTCTAAGGAGTGGGCCTCCACTGATGCCCAGAGACATCTGGTTAAAGGAGAAGCACATGAATTTGGAAAGTGACACTTGAGATTGGCTATGAAGGAAAGGTGTCCCTCAGAGAGAAGGCACAGAGCCCTCAAAGCATTTCAGGAAGCGCTCCTTGGGCCTTGCCTTAAGCCTTCCTCAGAGGGAACTGAGGTTTTCCCTCAAGGACTCTGCTCCGGGCTCGAAAGCCTAGTCCAGGCACTTGTAGAGTCGCAGACTGTTGGTAATGCACGTAAGTCGCAGGGGGAGCACTGGATTGAATCACAAAGACAAGCAGGGTCTTGGTTTAGTTCCATTGCATGGAATCTAGGGTATCTGACTTTTAAATCTGAGGTGTTTCCTCCCAGGAGACACCACTGCATTGACCATGTCTCTAGCTCTATAAGCATGGCACTTAACATCTACCTTACATACACATGTTGGTATGTCTTGATCCAGAAACCCCACCCTACCCACCCCCTGAGCCAACTCATTCTCCTTGACTTGACCTTCTATCTATACCCTCACCACTCTTTCGCTTCTCCTGAGAGTATGCTTGTCCATACATAAACAGATATAGAGTTTATATGCCCCAAACACCGTCTTTATTGGATTCTAACATTCCAAGCCACCATCCACCTCCCCTCATCACCACAGGGCCCACAGCAATTATTCTAACCCTTCCCATAGCTGTGCAGCCTGTTCATCCTGACTGGCTCATCTCTTCTTATAGAAACTGAAAATAAAGTCACCCATTGTCCACCCTTCCTGTGCCTCACAATACCCCGGTGCTTCTCTAGACAGCTCTCTGCACCTAATCTAGAACCTACAAGCAATAAGATATCTTTTTAAACTAATTTAATAATTTAATTTGTGGAACAGGATCTCACTGTGTAGCCCTGGCTAGCCCGGAACTCATGTCAACTAGCTGGCCTCAAACGCAAAGACATCTGCTTACCTCTGCTGGGATTAAAGACATGTTCCACCATACCCAGATGAGAAGTTGTCATTTTTTTTTTGTTAAGATTTTATGTGTATGTAAGTGCACCATGTGCATATCTTGAAGGTATTCGCATGTACCCAGACTTCTTTTGTGGACCCGAATATCATCTGCTGTGGTGTCTCATGTTCACCAGAAAGTGATGCATATTTTGTTGTTACTGATGTAATAATCTAAGATTACAGCAGTGTCAGTGGATGTAGTCCAGGCCTCTCCTCTCCTTACCAGTCAGTGGTCTGCCTACCTGCTTCCTTGGGTAAGAGAGATATTGATCTCTCCAGCTTTCCCTATGGGCTTGTTTGTTTCTTCACACAGTTTTGATGGGTTTGCTTTGTGAATTTGGAGTCTTGTCTCTGGGTGCAGAAACATTTAAGGTTTTCAGTCTCTTGGTGTGAATTCCTCAATCCCAAGCAGTGATATCCTTTTCTTAGAAGTCCCCTTTGTCACATATTAACATGCTCACCCTGCTTTTGTAGTGTTCCTTGGTGCAGTGGTGGCCTTGGTTATCAGCTTGACCTGGTGTGGAGGCCATGAAGACGCAAGCTCCCGAGCACCTATGAGGAGTTTTCTTGGTTACCTATATACCTAAAATGTTTCCTGCTCTTCATTCTTTGGTTGCCTTTTATTTCTGTGTCTATCTCTCTGCTTGCACGATCTGGTCCTTTCTGAAGGATACCGAAAGGTCCATTCAATTTTGTGCATCTGAGAAAGTCATTTTATCAAATATATCTTTGCTGATATGAAATTCTTTTCTGTCAGTAACTTCAAGGTGTTTTTCATGGTCTTCCCCCCTCTGACATGCACAGTTTGCAGGGGAGATCTGCCGTCTCTCTGCTCCTCTATGTGTGATGTGTATCGTTTTCTCTTCCGTCTGTTGCTTTTATAATTTTCTCCATCAAGTAATTTGATCATACTGTGCTGCTACCAGATAATACATTATTTAAAATGGGCTGTTGCAGAGTATGCATTTGAAGTTTCTCTGTATTGGATAAGGTCTTCTTGTTTGGTTGTTGGTTGGGTTTTGGCATTGTTAACCCACGCTAGGAAGAATGCAATTGAGAAAACGTCTCCATCAAATTGGTCTGTAAACAAGTTCGTAGGACGGTTTTTTAAAAAATTGATTATTGAAGGGGGAAGGCACAACTCATAGTGGGCGTGGCCACCCCTGGGCAAGGTGGTCCTGGACAGTATTAGAAAGCAGACTAAGCAAGCCTTTAGGAGCGAGCCAGTAAGTAGCATTTCTTCATAAGGTCCTACCTCCAGATTCTTGCCCTGACTTCCCTTCATGAGAGTGTAAACTATAGGCTGAAATAAACCCTTTACTCCCCCATGTTGTTTCTGGTCACAGTGTTTATCATAACAATAGAAAGCAAATTAGGACACAAGTCCTCAAAGTCTTCTAGCTGGTAAAACAGTTTCACAAGTCAACCCCACTCCCCTGTCTCATTTCTTTCCAGTAGATAACTGGCTAAGCTGGTTTGGCCTGTCTGGGCCTTGATTAGGGCCACTTACTACACTTGCCATGTTATTAGGTATTAGGGCTTCAGTCTCCTTTTGTCCTGAGTCAGAGGACAGATAGAGATTCACATTTCCACATGAATGCTTAAAACGTGCTGTGGGGACAGGCTGGTGTGGAAAGGAGCTGTAAATTTCTCAGAAGGCTACAATTCTCTGCTCTGTTTAAACAGTCAGTAAGTGTGCCATCATTCCTGTTTGAAGGCACACACCCAGGACCTGCCCTTAGCCCTTTGTCCCAGATGAAATTAATGACATTGGAATTGAGTCTCTGTCATCTTGTGCTCAAAACCCTAGCAGACTCGTAACAAGAAAGAATTAGGGCACGGCTCGAATGCAGAAGTGGAAAAAGAAATGGGCTGAGATCCGCAGGGAGAGCTCCTACTCCTTCATCTGTCTCATGGCCCAAATAGCTCAGTCTCCTCCCCCCAGCTTGTGTTTATGTGCTACCTTCCTTTCTCCTGTGGCAGATGTCAACAGACCTGTGGTCCTAAACTAGGTCAGAGAGAAAGGCAATGGGTTAATACAGCCCTCTGGCTCTGTCATTCTGTGTCTTCATACACACCTCCCATTCTCCAGCAGGCTTTCTGTGTTATATCAGGGGATCCATGGTCCCCAGAACCAATGGGCTCCTGGCTCTCAGATCCCTCGCTGGAATGAGACAAAGAGTCCTTACTGTCCCAGCCCTTTTGCTCACATATTATCAGGTCCTTCTCCTTCTCATTCCACAACAGCACTAACAAAACAACATCAGAGGACTCACACACCTGTCACCGCAGCCAGAAAGACACCTCCATCCTCCAGAATGCCCATTACATGAGGGACCTTTTTCAAACCTACAAGCTCAGGCTTAGGGGTCAGGTATTGAGATACAGATCAGCAGTAGAATGCTTGTCTACCACAAATGAGTCAGATTTGATCCTCAGTACCAAATTCAGGTCTGAAATGGTGGTTTGTGATTATAATCTCCTCACCCCAGAGGCTGAGGCAGGAGGATTTTCACAAGTTGGAGGCTAGTCTGGGATATTTGTGGGTTCCAGGCAAGCTGCTCCACAGTAAGAAGCCATCTTTAAAAAAAAATAAAAAAGCTAAAACAACAAATTAAAATCAGACAAGATCCAGGTCAGGGTTCTTGGGATAATTGAGGCAGCGGACACATACTGTATAGAGGACAGGTTTTCAGGCCAAACAAACCTTATTCCAAGGAACAGACATGATGAAAAGTCAGTGGATGTCCCAGTGTGGAACAGTGGGTGGAGAAGTCCAGGCTCGGACCATTCTATTCCTCTCCAGAGCTTGCTGTTGCCTTTTCAGTCCCAAGTAAAGCTTGCAATACCCACAATCCCTCTCCTTCCTTCTGTACTGTTAATTATTCAGGTGCAAGGTTTTCATTTCCTCAAGATGTTCAAGAGAACAGATAGTCAGACCGTCTAGTGTTTGGGAGGGAATGTTATATAAGATTCCCTCAGTGCACTGAAGCAAAAGTCCTGGTAAGCACAATGGACTTGAGAGCAGAACATCTGCCTTTCCCATTGGAGGTTTAAAAACAGTCTGAGGGGTGGAGAGGCAGCTCAGTGGTCCCAGCTAGAGCCAGTGGTTCTCAGCCTGTGGGCTGTGACTCTTTTGGGGGTCACACATCAGTTATTTACATTATGATTCACAACAGTAGCAAAATTACAGTTATGATGTAGTGATGAAATAACTTTATGGTGGGACACCACAATATGAAGAACCGTGGTGAAGGGTTGCAACCATTATAAAGGCTGAGAACCATTGAGCTAAGAGGATTGTCTTCCAGAGAACCGAGCTTTGATTCCTAGCACTCATAAGAGCTCACAGCCATGTGTTACTCCAGTTCCAGGACATTCAACATCCTCTTCTGGTCTCTAAAGGCACAGACATGCTAATGGTGTACAGACATGCATACAGGCAAAATGTCCATACACATAAAAAAAAAAAAGATAGGCATGATGATACACACCTATATAACCAGAACATCTGACCTCAGTCATTTGTGAGTCCTGAATCTTAGCCTGCTAATTGTGATCTCCAAAAGCCAATATAGCCCTTCCTGGGGCTCAGGACCAAATGCCAGCTATGGAAAACAAGGTGGTATTAATCAGCATTCTCTATAGAAACATAACTGATAGAATGAGTGTGTGTGTGTGTGTGTGTGTGTGTGACTCTTCTGGCATCATCCATGGGCACCAAGTACCATATAGTAAACATACAGGCAAAACACCCATACACATTAAGTACACATGCCAGCTGTGGTCTGACTATTCCAACAACGACTGTCTCCAATGGAAAGTCCAAGAATCTGACTAGTTGTTTGGTTCATAAGACTGGATGTCTCAGCTGTATACACTGTATACATTGTATACATTGGAATCCCAGAGAAGTAGGGTCTAATACCAGTGAAGGAATGAACATCCTGAGTGAGGGCAAGCAAGCAGAGAGCAAAAGCTTCCTTCTTCCATGTCCTTTATATAGGCTGCCACTTTGTGGTCCAGATTTAGAGTGGATCTTCCTACTTCAAATGATCTGTATTTAGGGTGGGCCTTACTGCCTCAAATGATTCAATCAAGAAAAATCTCTCACAGTTGTGCCCAGGAACTTGGACTTTAGTTAATACCAGATGTAGTCAAGTTGACAACCAAGAATAACAATCACAGATGGGGAAAGAAATTCTAGGAAACTTTCTAGAAACAACGTTGGCCGAAGCTATGAAAAGGGGAAAGCGGAGTTGAAATTGCTTATTTTGTGAGCTACCTGCTGTGTGACTTTTTGCAGAGAGATATAAAATCAATATCTGTGTCTAACTTGCAATGGACATCCAATGACTGACACACCCAAGCTCATTTTGACAGGCAAGATGAATTTATTAGGGGTGACTTATGAAACAGAGGATGATCATGAACAGCTAGAGTACAAATCACACCCCCCCCCAACACACACAAACACACACACACACTCATACAAAGCTCATGTCTTATATGGTTCTAGGTTTACAGCATTTCTGTTACACTTGGTTCAGGGTGCTCCCTGCTGTGTTAAAGGGTCAGGAGGTAGAGGCTTGGAAAATATGAGGCACAGACACACACCAGACTTTGGGAAAGTTCTGTGTTTACAAGTACTCCATCCTCGTTCTACTCTTTAGGGATTCTGCTGGTTTTGATAAACAGTGTGACATTGTGGAGAAAACCATTTGTTTCTTCTGCACACTAGGTCAAAGGACAGCTAGATAGGAGTTTGCTGCAAGATGGAAGATTAGTCTCACTGTGATTACTCTACAGCATAAAGGCAGCAGGATGCATGTGCATGAGAGGAGTGATAGTTTCCTGCCTCAGGTGTCCCTGGACCACCCCTCCTTCTACTGGATTGAAGGTGAATCTCAGGGATTCTTGAGTTCATCAGAGAAAGAATTTGAAGATAGACATAGTTAAAGTGCTTAAGAACAAGCAGCTCCCCAAGAGTCTTTTTGGTCAGCTTCTATGATGGTTTCACCTTTGTGTTTGTAGGATGGTTTTATGATTTTTTTCTCTAATTATGTGGAATTCTCCTGGACTCCAGTCTATGTACCAGAGATTCATCCTATGTGGTACATCAGGAGTTTTCAGCATTGCGGGGTCCATACAGGACTGTCACAATACATGGTAAGCGGTACTGGCTTTCCCCAGGGTAGGTGGATTGTTTGGTGGGTAGGTTGGTGGGTGGGTGGGTTGGTGGGTGAGTGGGTTGGTGGGTGGGTAGGTTAGTTGGTGGGTAGGTTGGTTGGTGGGTGGTTGGGTGGGTTGGTTAGTGGATAGGTTGTTTGGTGGGTGGGTTGTTTGGTGTGGAGGTAGGTTGGTGAGTGGGTGGGTTGGTGGGTGGGTTGTTTGGTGGGTAGGTTGTTTGGTGGATGGGTTGTTTGGTGGATAGGTTGTTTGGTAGGTAGATAGGTTGTTTGGTGGGTGGGTAGGTTGTTTGGTGGGTGGGTTGTTTGGTGGGTGGGTTGTTTGGTGGGTGGGTAGGTTGTTTGGTGGGTGGGTTGTTTGGTGGGTGAGTTGTTTGGTGAGTGAGTTGTTTGATGAGTTGGTTGGTTGGTTGGTTGATTAGTTAGTTGGTTGGTTTAATTAATTTCCAAGCTACTTTTCTTGGCCAATTATTTACTCATTGCCTGACTAACCCTACCATTACCCCCTTTATAAAGAGACTCTGAACACTTGGAGAAAACACGCCCTGCTTTCCAGTTCCATTTGAAGCTGCAGTGATCCTCAGGCTTGTCTGAAGCCCTCCTATAGCTGCATCACGAGCTCAGGTGAAACAAACAAATTACCCAAGAATCATTGCTCAAAACTTGAGCTCACCCACCTCGTCATTTCATACACCAAGAAGGACATTTGGCAGTATCATGTTTAATCACCAGGTTAGAAGAAACATTACAAAATATAGGAACAAGATAGCCCAGCAAGAGAGCACCAAAGGGCATGCAGAGTTCTGCTCATACATATAAGGTTTTCCTGCCTTTGCAGTCTGATTGATAATCCAATTCAGGTAATGTGACACCTTGGTGTATACTCCTGGCAGATTCTTCTTGCCACAGCCTATGCCCCAGCTGACGATGCCCACCTGGTACCAAGTGGCTATGTTTCTCTTTTTGTTGCAAACTAGAGCTCCTCCACTGTCACCCTAGGAAAGAAAAGTTGTTGGGAAGTTGAAAGGCAGTAGAAAAGCTACTCCCATAACCTGCTCAATTGTGGACATCTGACAAAAAGTTTACTGGAGGGTTCCTATGGTGGCCATTTCTGGCTATTGTTCAGTTTTCCAGCCACAAGGGTGTAACTGTTGCATAGGTAGCAAACCATTTAGGCAAAAGCAATTGGGTAAGTGATGACTTGAAAGACTGATTTCTACCATCACCACCACCATCATCACCACAGAGATCACTATTGATTTAATGTATCATTCATTTTGATATATCTGTGACAGAAGCTTGCTCTTTCTTCATGAATTCATTTTCTACCAGCCCAGCTCTATCTGTTTTGCTCACAAATGCAAAAAGTGAACAGAATAAGCAAAAATCCATCATGCCTTATAGGAAGCCATTGATTGAATCTACCAGCTACACAGATGAATATATGACAAATGCAAAAAGAACCATATTATGTTTTTAAAAGTGATAAAATACTTAAATCAACACATTTACAATTTGTAGGGAAATAAATAAATAAATCAGAAGCCATACTCATAAGAGAGAAGGTCCTCCACAGACTGAAGCAGAGGTTAGAGCAAGGCCACACCAGGAGCCAGAGAGGTGGCTACGGTTCTCCTCTTAGACCTGAGAAGGAACAGGCCTTTCCCGCATCTTGATTTAGGACTTGGGTGATCCTGAGCCATGGGAGAACCATGTCTGTTGATTAAAGCCACCCAGCTTGTGGTTATTTGTTACAGTAGCCCTAAGAAACTGCTATGGTATCTCATCCACTGGACAGAAAAGCCAGCCACCCTTTCCAGGCAGAGCCCAACCCATTACCTGGCAGGCATCCTTCCCAGCATCTTGAGTCCCAGCACACAGCATATTCTTGGTTAATACAGGCAAAAGATAGCTACACCAGTCCCATCTGTACAGATCCACTTGGACTTTCTGCAGCTTTTCAGGTTGGATTTTTATTCCACCTGAGCCAGAGGAGAAGCGAAGGGAGAGAGAGTCTCAGGTAAAATTGTCCCTTTAAGTTGAGTGTCAGTACCCATCCATATCACTCCAATGACAAAAGAACTTCTGTTCACCCACAGACCAATCGAATGTGGGAGAGGAATAGATATCTAGAAGACTGTCAAGATCCCTTAGGCATCCATAATTCCCTAGGACTAGGGCCCTGCTAAATCTCAGCCTGAGTTCAGCGTCTTCCAACCCTATAGTAGGCATGAGCCCCAGCTGGACTCCTGGAAATGTATTTTGTTTGGATGCATTACGGTCAAGAGAACTCAGGCAGATGGAGGGGCTTGGAACTCTCTAGGTCCCTTGAGACATTCACCAAGTAGGAGTTCACCACCCAGGAGGTGAATGCTTTCTTTCTCTTTAGGCATTGTTAAATCTTGTGTCGAGAATGCTTCCAGAACAGAAAAAAGGTCAAAGCATATGTGTTGAATGAATGATAACTGAGGACTTTGGGGTTAAGAACTTTGTTGTGTTTCTCTTTCTTTCTTTTAAGCTCATAAAAATCATCAATGACTGGCTCCAACCCAGATCAGGACTTTGGAACAACATTAGAACACAGGCCCAGTCACATAAGGACCTGCATGGAGGAACAGCATGGCCTGCCAAGTGTTCCCTGCCGACCGATTATGGGACAATGTTCTGGATAGCCCTGGCCTTGTATTTTGATACTAATTCCCCTTTCCTGTGAAGGGCTGCAGAGGAAGTGTGAGTCATTACACAGGTGAATTCTAGTGAACCTTCTACCCATCTTAATTTGTAAAATAAAGGCTGGAGCCAGTGATTGGGCAGAAGAAGGGGAGGTGGAGAAATAAAGGTTGGTGGGAAGAGAGCAGAGGGGAGGACTGGAGGAAGACAATGGAGGAGGAAGGAGAGGACGACTGGGAAGCAGGAGGTAGAAGGACAGACACAGGGTCTGGAAAATCCTCAAGTTATAAGGGTCTCATAGCTGGAGAACAGAGTAGTATAAGGGTATCTGCCCAATCTAGGCTTACACAATATATTCATAATTACTGAGTTGTGTTTTCATTGACCGGTCATATTTGGGTTGGAGATTTAAATATCTCTCACTACAGGACAAGACATCTGTGGTGGTTTAAATATGCTTAGCCTATGAGAAGTGGCACTATTAGGAGGTGTGGCCTTGTTGGACTAGGTATGGTCTTCTTGGAGGAAGTGTGTCACTGTGTAGACAGGCTTTGAGGGCTCCTAGTGCTCAAGCTCTACCCTGTGTGGGAGAGAACATGCTCCTCCCCACTGCCTGCTAAGGAGTCTCCTTCTGGCTGCCCTTGGATTAAGACGTGGAACTCTCAATTCCTTCTTCTGCAATGTGTCTGCCTGGATGCCACCATGCTTCCTACTATGATGATAATGGACTGAACTTCTGAAACCGTAAGTCAGCCCCAGTTAAATATTTGCCTTTGGTAAGAACTGCCTTCATCATGGTGTCTCTTCACAGCAATTAAACCCTAACTAAGACAACTTGCTCATCAAGAAGATGGACAAACGGGATTAGTTTGCAGCTGTGGCTGGGAAGGGGTCTAGAAGTGGACTGTTGCTTGCTTCTGTAAAGGACACTTTACAGAATTAGCTGATTTTTTCCCCGTTGGCCTGAATCCATGGCTTTCAAATAGTTAGAGATCTTGGCCTTAGAAGAGCAATACAGATATCATCTGGAGTGGAGTCAGTCCGTACTGCTGCCCTGTGTCCTTTCATAGTCTCTCAGAATTCTACTGAGTGACCTTTGACCTTGGTTTCCTCAGAGGTTCAGTCCAGGGTTCATGTTCTATAGCATACGTACACAATTTGCTCCAGGTCCCAGAAGTTTAAGGCCAGCAGAGCTTCTCAAATTTTCTAATCTTTCCGAACACCAGCCACATGTCACCCCATATATCTAACCTGGAGTCACTTACTAACATTAGTAACGCCCCATCCTGTCACCCAGCAGTTCTTCCATGACCGTAGGTCGGAGAGTTCTGAAACGCAGATAGGTATCTTGTTGATACTCAAGTTTAATGGGGATTTGAGCAAGAGCAAAGCTATGTCATTGTCCAGGAGCCAGTCATCAAACTTTGGGTGCACGATTAACTTGTCCACTTTCTGATACGTCATGTTCTTTGTGCTGAGGTCATCTCTGCCATAAATGATCTCCAAGTTAGACCTCATTTAAAAGAAAAAGAGAGAAAATGTAAATGATAGAAGTGGAGATGGGATATCCCTAAAGATTCTGCCCCCAGTGGCTATGATTCTAAGTAAGGGGCTAAAAGAGCCTGAGCAGTGGAAGGCAGATCGGAGCCCCAGCACATAGCCTGATGATCTTACTTGGGTAAACCAAGGTAGCAGGAGAAGAGCAAGATACTCTTCTTGATTCTCAAGAAGGGCTTGACTAATTATAGAGCAGAAGTCCAGGGAGACTCATGAGACTCAAGGACTTTTACACCAGCCCAGAGCTGGTGACTCGTGCTCAAGGACTAGAGTCCCAGACTCACATACCAGTGTCTCAAAGGTTTCTGATTTTGCACCCATGCACTACCCTCTGTGTCTCCAACAAGAACAGTTAGTGATAGATTTCCTTTCTGTCTGTTTAGAGTTTATTTTAATTTGTCTTTAAGACAAAGTCTCCCTATGTAGTCTAGGCTTGCCCATGACAAATCATCCTCCAGGCTCATCCTCCAGAGTGCTAGGTGTCAGAAATGTACTACCATAACCAGCTTAGAAAAAGTGTTTATTAGAAGTCGGATCGTGTCCACAGATACTTAGCAGAATGTGAAGCGTGGAGCTCACAACAAGATATATCGAATCCTGGGAGAAGATCTGCTTACTTCTCAGAGGTCAGAAGGAATACTCAACCTTGCAGGCCGTTTTAGCACCTGATGGCATTATGTGGCTGGTTGAATGAAACCTCTGGGACAAGCATTCTGTTACACTGGTTAAGAAGAACATTCTAACTTAAGCTTGTTGGTATGCCTGCAGGGTCAGCTACTTGGGAAACTAAGACAGAAGAATTACAAATTCAAGGCTTCTCTGCGCTACAGAATAAGTTCAAGACCAGCCTAGAAACTTAGTGAGATGCCTTAAAATAAAAAGCAATTGCTTTCTGAGTTTGAGGCCAGCCTGGTCTGCAGAGCCAGGACAACCAGGGCTACATAGAGAAACCCTGCCTCAACCTAGCATGGTGCCCCCTAGGCTCAATCCCTGATGCTGCCACCCACATTGAAGCCTTCCCCTGTTTCTTCCAGGAATACTCACTTGTTTATTTGTTCGAAGCAATGGGATGCAGATAGAACCCACCACTCATTGAGTATAGATCCCCCACAGAGATGATAACCATGATTCATAATCCCCACGTGCCACGGGAACTTGGAGATGTTTGCAGGTTTCCCTCCCATTATAGCAGAAACATTGTTCTGTTGTTGAGATCTGTCCTGCATTTCCTGGCCACATATCCCTAAAAGAAGGGAAAGAGAAAGAAAGTTTTAGGGTCTCAAAGTCAAGTCTGAAGGGTCTGGAAAAAGTTCACCTTACAGGCCCATTTCCACACACACAGGCAAAGGGCTCAGCAAAGGGACATAGGTAGAAAACCCACAGACTAATCCAAGCCCCCCATATTCCCCTCAAGAGCTTGGCTACACACATGTGGAGAACACTGGAGGCCGCTTTCACTGCTGCCTGCTTCATGGAATGGTTCTGTAGGGCCTGGAAGAGGGAAGACTTGAAGCTACATGGTGGGCAGCTGGATCTTGCTATTCCCATGGGCTGTGTAGCAATGTCCCTTTCTTTAAATCATGACACACTGTCCCCTGAAATATGCTATAGGCCTGGAGTCCCACTGTGAGTCAGAAAACTAATCATGGGAAGAAGATGGCTTAGTCCCACCAGCTCTCTGATTCCTGTCCTGTTTTTCCTACTGTGATTAGGGAACATGCTGTCATGCAACTTTAATCCCAAGGATAATTCCAATTCTCCCCAGAAGCGAGTTTGGCGGTTCCTATGGGACAGAGTTGTTTTGACATCTCTGGATGTCTTTTCAGTATTGTTGCATTTCCCTCCTCCTCTTCATGTTTCCTGTCTTCTTTTCTTTTTTCTCATTTTTCTCTCCTTTTCTGCCTCCTCTTTCTCCTTCTCAGTACTATGGCTCAACCCCTGGGCCCGGTACATGTTAAGCAAACATGTTACCACTAAGCCCACCCACACCTTTCCAGTAGTATTCCAACTAAGAGAGAAGTAAACGCAATAAAATCTATAGTATTGGATACTTAACTGTTTGCAAAGCACTGTCCCGTTTCATTGCCCTGTCTTAAAGAGTCACACCTAAGGCTGGACATCAGATGAAGGCCCAACAGCTACTATACAGCAGAGATGGGTCGGGAACACGAGTGAAGATCTAATGACGATGGCACCCACACAATTCTTACAGGAAAATATAGCAATAGTTCTAGTCCAGCTCTCTCTAGTCACACTCCCACATCCACGTGTCATCATGGCCCCCACCCTACCTAATACTCTCTCACAAACTTCCATCCCAGAACTCCACCACATATACCCTGCTAACATATCCCTGTGATCACATATGCTACCTCTGTACAGCACTTCCAGGTACTTCATACCATACACCCTACTCACACAATCTTACTTCACACCCTATCCCCATCCAGGCACCTGTCACCAAAGAACTACACCACCCCAGGATTCCGGTACATAGCCCACTACCATACACACCACCATCCTAGAATTCCATCACCAGAGAACTTTACCGTACACCCCCCCACCACACAACCCCATCACCTACTCACACACCAACACCACTGACCACTACCACACAGTCACACCACACACCTACCGTTCATCACCAAACAGTGTGTCACCACCTCACATCGCCACCCCCACAACCAGCCATGGCTTCTCTGTCTTTCCATTTCGTTCCCAACACCATGGACCTTCTTCCAGCTCCCTAGAAGTGGCCTTCAGCTTCCTGCCTCAGGGTGCTTCCCGTTTCTCCTCCTTGATCTATGCCCCTCTGTGTTCTTGGCATCTTAGCTCAACCATAAAGTGAGTTTTGCTGATCTGGGCAAAATTGAGGCAGGAGAAGCTGGAGTTTGAGGCTGGCATTGGTTATGGGAGTATTTTGTGTATGTGTATTGGGAAGGTGTAATTTCAGATCACCTTTTTTCAGTATCACTTTTGTATTCGATATTCTCCTCAGAGTACCAGCAATAGTTACCAAATGTTTGTAAACTTTTGATGTTGGCGCCTCTCATTAGAGTCTAATCTGCATGCAGGCAGGAGCCGTATGTGACTAATTCTTATGGCCACACCATCTAAGCAAGAGACTGGTATGTTCCAGTAGCCCAATACATAGTGCTGGATTAAATGGATGTATTGGGGGATGGTATAAACTGGATGGATGGATGGATGGATGGATGGATGGATGGATGGATAAATGGAGTAGGTGGTTAGATGTGTGGATAAGTGGATAGAGCAGATGAGTGTATAGATGGCTGGATAATTATGAATGATCTTAGCATCAGTGGTAAAATTCCTTGAACCACCAGTATCGTGAAGAGGTGGTCAGGGACTGAGGAGCCTTTGTTCAAAGGCATCAACCCTTTTAGTTCCCAGATCAGAAGCCAGAGAAGAGGGAGCATGGGTGATGGATGGAAGTGTCATCACATTTGAGGGAGAGTGGACAGTTTGCAGAAGTGTCATTGCAAAAACCTCTGCCTTGACTCCCCTGCTAATGTCAAGGAGGCATAATTGCCCCTTCCTGGTGGACCCCAGCACTCTACAAGGCACCTGCGATCGAATCTGCAATCTTAGATAGAGACACTTGGCATTCCAGCAAGAGAACCTTAGAATTACTATTCAGTAAAACAGGCATGTTGGTCTAGGGTGGGAGAAATTAAACGTTGAGATGACTATTTTGAACATGTATGCAAAATGACATAATTCAAAATCAGGTTGGGCTCATAAAATGGCTTGTTTTAGTCTTTTCCTCTTTTTGAAACACAGTGCCATCTGTCACCTGTTGAGGATCATCCCTGAACCAGCTACTGTGCTGCCTGCATGAACGAGAGACCCTTAATAATCTCAAAACCCCTCTCCAGTGTGTCTGCAGTCCCACTTTACACGTGAAGAGAGATGATCACTCAAGCTCATGCAAAAGCAGGAGCAGAGAGGGACTTCCAGCTAGTCCAACTGTTTCTAAACCCAGCTACCCTCTTCCTGCTCAGAGCTTCTGTAATAGCACATACTGCCTGACCTTCCCAACCTTTAAAAGCCTTAATTGGACCCATAGCATGTGGTTTGGATAATTGCTCACTAGGGTGAACCTGAGAGGTTTTAGTCAAATATTGATTGTTGGGACCCTGCTCACCCAGAAGGCGGGCTTTTGAGGGCTGACATGGAGGCAAGGCTTCCCTGGAGAGCTGGGTCTGATGAGTACATAAGTGACTATTGCTGTTCTCTGGGAGATGCAGTCTGATGGTGCATCTAAGCTTAGCCGAACTGCCAGCAGTCTGGATGCTGGTGAGAGTCTGAGTCCCACAGCCCTGAGAAATGCTTCTCAGGAGCAAATGGAAAGAATCATCTGAAGTCTCGGGATGGATGGCGGCATATAGCCATGCAGGCTTCAGAACTGAGTAAGGACTGATAATGGTTTACACTTCCCTGAGGAGGGACACGATCTTGCCAGATTTAAAACCAGCCATCAGGCCAACAGTATCACTGTCAAGAACAGACAGAACCGAGGAGATGGCTCAGCAAAGTGCTCTCTATGCAAGCAGGAAGGCCTGAGTTTGATCCTCCAGAACTCATGTAAAAAGCTGAACACAGGGGTGGGTGCCCTCACTGGTGATGTGGAGACAAACACATCCCTGGGACTTGCTAGCTAGCCAGTCTAGAGGAACCAAGGAGTTCAGCATTTTGACAAAGATTGGCATATCTGGGCCCTGCAGGTTTCTTAACTCTGTGTTGAGCCCCTTTCCCCTCACTGGCCTGTCTGCCTCTGCAATGCATTAAGCTCTTTCTGTGTGTGGAGTCTTTGCACTGTGCTTGCAAGTGTGCCTCCCCATCAGGGAAAGCAAGTGTCATGAGTGCAGAAAGGGCCTACCTGACTAGCCAATTCTATCGGATCCGCCCAGGTTTTCTACACTAGTCTGTTTTGTCTGCCATTGAATAAGAAAGAAGACAGTTAACTAAGTTTACTCAGGGATTTTGTTGCCATACTGGGGATGGATTTTAGGGTTCCTTGCTTAAAGGCAGGAAAGCAGCCTACCTGTGACTGGCCATCCTCAACCCTCTTCACTTTTTATATAGAAAACAGAATCTCATTAAGTTGTCCAGGCTAGCCTTGAACTCATTCTGTAACCTAGGCTAGGCCTTGACCCTGCAATTCCCTTGTCTCATTGTCCTCAGTAGCTGGACTAGAGGCCTGAACCAACAGCTCAGCTTTTGTGTTTAAGGCTCATCACTACCGCCACCCTGAGGAAAATTCTATGTCCTCCTCTACTGTGAACACAGTTTCTAAAACAGCTTACCCTGTGGCAGGGGTTCGAAATTTGTTGACCAACCCATTGATGCCAACTGTATACATTCTCTGGACTCAAACAGGAGCCCATCACTGGGGATACCGGTGCCCCGCCTTGCTTGAGTGCTGTAATATAGTGGCCTTTGCATTAGACCAGACGTTTCTCAGCATAGTGGAAGAAGGAAGAGATTCTCTGCAGATCCTGTCGGACTTAAGCCTTCCTGATGTGCCCACTATACATCACTGACCCAACAGCTGGCTGCCTTTTCTAAAATATGTGCTAGTATAGTCATTCACTGTGGGAAACTCTAGTATCTACACAGATAGCAAATTACACTTGTGAGAATGCACGGACAAGCATGTGCACACGCACACACACACTTACAGAAACCAGGCTCACCAACCCCCAACAACTTTAAAGGACAAGTGGTATAAGAATCTCAGTGATCATTTGGTCAAGGACCAGCTACCTCAGATCCCTAAATCCTGTCCCACCCCCACCCCAAACTACTGAATCACTACCCCTGGGAAGTTGCCTTTGGTACTAGTTCCCAGGTGATTCTACCACCCCTTAGGGACTGGGCCACAGGGTCCCCAGAAACCTACATGCCAGTGAGCTATGTGCCCAGAACAACAGGAGGGCCAATGGCAGCAACAGCCCTGTTCTTCTGCCCTTCCACCGTTTCATCGGCTTGCCTGCACATGAGCAATGGGGAGCTTCAACTGAGGCCAGTGATGGAGGGCTGGGCCTACATAACCACTGAGATCACAATGGGCCTAGGTGGACCACCCTAAGTAGCAGGTGGCCTCCTGAGTCCTCCAGGAAATGGAGGATAGGAGGGGTGTAGCGACGAGGGTGACAGGAGGTAACATCAGGAGCTCCAAAAACAGTGGCGTTCCAACAGACTAGTTTGCAGATGCCCCAGGACACAATGGCCAAAGGCACCACCCTGGTTAATAAGAAGGAAGCTGAGGTATGTGCCTCAAATAAGTCAGACAACACAGCAGAGATACCAATGCACACTCTATGGGAGAGAGCCTCATGTCACCAGAGATACAACCAGTAGGATGCTGGGGGAGTCACTTCACTTAGATTCTCATATTTATCTGAAAATAGGTGATGACACAGCTCTGTGGCATTGAAAGGGTTAATGCACTAGGACAAGGGTTCTCAACCTTCCTGATGCTGTGACTCTTAAACACAGTTTCTTGTGGTATGGTGACCCCCAACCATAAATTATTTTCATTGCTACTTCATAACTGTATTTTGCTACTGTTATGAATCATAATGTAAATCTCTGTGTTTTTCCATGGTCTCAGGTGACCCCTGTTAAAAGGTCGTGACCCAGAGGTTGAGAACCAATACATTAAGGCAGGTATCCCAGCACAGGACCGGTCATATTCTGAGCCTCTAATATAACCCCCAGGTTCGCTGCTACTGTCTCCTGGCAGACACAGAACTTTGGCCATCAGCTCCTCTCAACAGGAAGCTCTCAGCCTGGGGCAGTGGGAGCACTCCCTCTGTGGGGTGCTAGGGTGGAACCCCCCTACTCATTCCTCATTTCCCTCAAGGGCTTATAAGCACAAGGTTGTGTTTGATCCCCAGAACCCAGACAAAGATAAAAGGCAAGTACCCTTGTAATCTCAGAGTTGGGGAGGCAGAGACAGGCAGATCCCTTGGGGCTTACTAGCCAGCAAGCTTAGTCTACTTGACTAGTTCTAGCCCAATGAGAAAACTTTGTTTCAAAATAAATAGAGGGTCTCCTTCTTAGGAACAACACCCAGGCTATACTCTGGCTTCTGTAGGTCCACCTCCACACACACAGACATACACACACATGCACACACACACAGGCAGACACACATACATAGACACACAGGCAGATACATACATAGACACACAGACAGACACATACATAGACACATGCACACATACATACACACAGACACACATACACACACACAGACACACACACACAGGCAGACACACATACACAGACACATGCACACACACACACACCCTAAATATACTAATGTAATTTTTTAATTCTTGGAAATGTCCATCAGAATGTCTGCCTCATGAAAGGTTAACTAGTTCATTATGGATGTGAGATTTGTCATGAGGAGAATGAATAACACTGCCACGGCCCGGAAGCTGAGTTTTGGAATTCATCAAGTAAGCTCCTACCTTTCACTGCCAGGTGGGGGCAGAAATGATGGGAGAGCTCCTCCCTTTGTTTCTTATAACAGAACCTTGTGGTTCTCACTATTTATAAACACTTGGGCCCTGGGGTTGAGGGGAGCAGGGTCACATGTGAAATGGAGTAAGCCGTTCATAGAGATTTCCCAGAACTTCCCACACATGCCACCTGGCTTTCCTGCATAGCTTCCAGGAGAACACATCTCTGTTATCCCCATTTGTGCCCCAAATCCCCAAGCATTCACATTTTAACCAAAACAACATGGGATCAGGCCTGGTGGCACAGGCCTGTAATCCAAGGTCTGAGGAAGGAGGCAGAGGCAAGAAGATCATAGGTTCAAGGCCAGCCTGGACTTGAATGAGTTCAAGGCCAAATTGAGTAATTTAGATTTTATTTCAAAATAGAAAAATAAAAAGGTGGGCTGGGCTTGCAGCTTAGTGTATAGTACTGGCCTAGCATATGTGAGGTTATGGGTTCAAGGCCCTTGTTCTGCAAAAACATAGGAAGGAAGGGAATGAATGAAAATACAAGTCAAGCATGTGTGGCGGCTTTATTTATAACTACTAAACCCTAGTAACGACCTACATGCCCATACTTAGGGGACTGGTTCCACAGGTGGCACACTTACACAGCAGTAAGACCACTCAGCAGTGAAGAGAACCCATTGCTGAACCAGCCAGCACTCCAAACACAAGTTTGTTAGGCCAATGATGAAATCGGATATAAATGGCTCCTTGCCATATGTTCCCAATACTATGGCATTCTGGAGAAAGAAAACACCTACCATCAACAGGGGCTGGAGCTCAGGAAGAGATGGACAAGGAGAGGAAACAGTTCTACTGTACAGGCATGTGCATGCCTTTCCATTCACAGAGCCTCAAAATGGCACACTTGCTCCACAGAAGTTAAAACTCAAAAGCCAGACTTTTAAAATACTGCTATACTTTGTACACAAACAAAATCCCCCAATATATTAATGACAGAAGTGGTGGTCCTGCTGTGGTTTGAGTGTGAAATGTCCCCTACAGGCTTCTGTGTGTGAACACTCCAGCTGCTGGACTATGGTGGGATAGGATGGAATCTGAACTCAGGGCCTGTGCCTATGGGGTTGACATAGCTCACCAGAGGCAAGGGAAAGTGTGTGTGTGTGTGTGTGTGTAACTGTAACTCTTACAAAAGTGTTCTTATGGACACTGTCCCATAGACCAGGACTCCTCCCTTTTGACCTCAATAAACAATTAATTTAATGATGTCCTTAGTGGTTCAGCCTCCCAAACCAGCTACCCAATGGGTTAGGAACACAAGCCTTGTTCAGAATACAAACACAGCACGGCTCAGGCAATGCTGATGGTAGTCCAAAAAAGCCGAGGGAAGATGTTCAGAGCATACTGCTGGGTAGAGAACTTGGGAGAGAAACAGCGGCTAATGGGGGCATGCTCTTGGGAGGCAGTCCATGAAGAATCTCATAACAAGGATATCATGTACACACTGAAGGCCGAAGGCGTGTAGCGGGGTGACAATCACCTGGCTATGCCTCCATGAGCCGGGATTTGAAGTCAGGTACAAGCCCAGGTTTCAGTGTATAATTTACATTATAATCTCAGTTACTCTGCTTTTTAGGTTCTGCTGGAACCCTAGAGTTTGACTGGAAGGCAGCCCCTAAGCGATCCCAGAAAGCAGATCCCAGGCTATCCATAAGAAAGGAGGGGGCTTTCTTCTCACAAGGCTCTTGTCCCTACCTATAAAACAGGCCCTGCCTAATCTCTGGCTGTACAGGAGACTTTTGTTTTGGCTCTAGGGAGCGAAGACCCTGCTCAGATGCCCTGGGAGCTGTGTCCTTGTCATGTCTGTGCCAAGAACCTGGGGAGCCAAATCAGAGGAGGACATGGCCTGTGGGCTTGTATCAGCCATCACCACCTTCCATGACCCAGTTTAAGTCTCGGCTGCATCTGCTGCCCAGGCAGGAAACACATCAACACAAGTGGGGGGGGGGGGAGAGCAGAGCTATTTGGGGCAGGAGACAGATTAGGAAACAGACATTGTTCCCTGCGGATCGCAGCCTTGCCTTTTTCCCTTTTGGATTTCAGCTCTGCCCTGATTCTTTCTTGCGTGAGACCAGTTGGATTGCTACATGCAGTGCTAGAGAAGTTCAGCTCTGGATCTGGAGACTTTGGGATTGGGTGCAAGGAGAGAGAGTGACCTGGCCTTGTATTTCCATAAGAGCCTGCCTGATGATTGTCTATCCTCCCAGAGATGAAAGTGCGGGGACAGCTGAGAAAGGTAGACCTAGTCCGAGGGTTCAGAAACCCTTCTCTCAGGGCCTCTCAGGACTACCTGAATCCCTGAGGTGGAGTTAGGGAGGCTGATAGTTATGAGGGCGGGGCTGAGCTCAGTTAGGGAGGAGCTGGAATTTCAACATTGAAAACTTGGATGGAGACATTTTGATGTTGGCATGAACATCATGGACATTGTAACTAGGCAGGCTAGCCAAAGCAATCAGCCATGGAGGTAGACAGACTCTCTCCTTCCTAGACCCAGGGAAAGCCACAGGGGTGAAGAAGGGGCCATCAGTGGGAACTGGCCAGTGGTAGCACTGTGACCTAAACAGGAAGGAGACAGGAAAGAATACCCCATTGGTCCTCTTGCATCCTATTCTTTTACTTTGGTCATTGCTTTCTGGGGAGTGTTTAACAGCATCTGGTGGCTCAGGCCTTAGGAGGCAGCCTCCTCGGACAACTGGTCAAATGGGGAAATAAAGGGCCAGCATCTTCTAGAACTTTCTTGTGGTGGGTGAGTTGACTGTTGTGAGTCATGCTGGCCTCGGAACTAAGAAGGACACCTGTGATAAAGCCTCATGATACTCACTGTTCTGTGCTTGGGACCAGGGAGTGTTAGCTCACCCCTCATGACAATGTTCTGCCAATTTGTCGGTCACCACATCAGAGACTGCGTTTTAACTGAGTGCCTTTTCTGGCATGCCAGCTCAGGTAGGACATATTATTTTACTGTCAGTTATAAGGTATCATATTGTACCTTATAATCCCTGTCATGGTTCAGTGCCCCTTTCCCATCATTCTTAGAAAAATAGATGGATGATATGAAGTAGAATGGAGTTATATAAATCATATATGTAATGGAAATATATATATATGGTGAAAGTATTCACTAGGAGATCCTGTCAAGTGATGTACAATACTTGCATTTTCCTATATTCTTACTATGTAGTGTTCACCAAGTATCCAAATGAATAAATGGGAAAATAAACTTCTGTATCCATATAACTGGTTGTCTCCTTTATATCTATGCCAGATAGACTGACCTAGAAAATATCTAGAGATGTAACCACCATTTGTCCCTGGATGCATGGTATAGCACTGGTCTTCAGACATGGTCCTATGGTTTGCTAAGCCCAAATTCTTACCCTTTGTGCTGTATCTGGCAACAAGCTGCCCTGTTGGCTGTTTGTAGAGGAAGGGCATGTTGGCTCTGGTGTCCCTGGATTAGTTCCATCCACTCT